GTAAAAATCAAGATTTTTAACTTAGAAAATCTAATCTTAGCTTTTGTAGTGAGTGAAGATACATAGTTTACTTTTGCTTTCAGAAAAATGCTAAGGATTTACCGGTAAACGTGAAGGAACTTGCAGAGTTGGAAGATCATTTTGCAACCATCATACTAAAGATTGGGTCAGATTAGACTTGTTAGTGGATGCTAAATCTAGGGGAAATTTTGATGAGGAGTAGGATATTTGTATGCTCTTGAAGTGTTACTCCACAGACTGCTTTTAGTTGCAAGGGAGACAATACACAGTAATTATACAGTAGAGAAATTGGACAGTACCGTGACCAGGTACTCAAAGCTAAAGTCACCATTGAAGGACAGATGGGAATCGTGCCTCCAGATGTGAGGCTCTGAGAAGGACACATGACCATCTATGTACTATTCAGGCTGAGAATGTATAACCTCAATCCAATCATGAGGAAACACCAGATAAACCCTAACTGGGGGATGTTCTATTTAAAAAAAGGGTGGGAGAAGGAACAGTGTTCCAAATTGTCAATGTCCTAAAAGACAATGAAAAGTCTGTGAAAACATTCTAGAAAGTAGGAGGCTAAAGAGACGTAACTAAATGCAGTACCTGATTGTAAACTGGGTCCAGTATTGGAGAGGGAAATATACTAAAAGGTCTTTAGTGGGTCAGCTGACAAAATTGGAATATGTATGTTTGATTTGATAAAAGTATCCATGTTAAATTTGCTGACATGATAACTGTATTAAAATTATCAAAGAAAATATGCCAATTTATAGGAAATATACTCTGAAGTATTTAGGGATAAAGGGCCATGATGTCTGTAATTTGCCCTCAAAAGGTTTAGAACAAATATTTGTGTGTGTGTGTAAAGAGTGGAAACGTGTACGATTGCAAATGATAAAGCAAATGGAGTAAAAATAACATAAATCTGGGTAAAGGATTGCAGGGTGCTGTTTGTAGTATTTTTGCTTTTGTAACTTATCTGTAAATTTGAAATTATTTTCAAGTAAAAAGACCAGATATATGCTGTTGTTATGATGCATTCTAATGAACAAAGTGGTAGTGCTTAATTTGTTCTTGAAGAATGAACAGTTAACATGCCCATTAGGCAGTTTCTCTCAAATATCCTCTGTCTCTAGTGAGCCATTGGTAAGTACTGGATCAAATCAGTTCATGGTTGAATTATCCAGTGAGTGCCTTAAGTGCCAGTATTCTCTATTGTTGATTGAAGAAGGATCCATATGTTTTATATACCGAATGTGGGCCAACAGCATTAAAATTCTGTTATAAAAATTGTAAAAGCCTGATTTGTTCTATGCTAGTTTACCTATCATGAAGATGGGACAGAGAAGTACTTAGAGGAAGTTACTGATTATTTTCTTTCAAGAAATATTTGAAACTTTAGAAGCAGTTGGACAGGTTCTCACAAATGAACCTAGTCTTCAGAAGTCTAGGATAGAAAAAAAATGATTTGGCCTAAAATATTTGAAAGGTGTATATTAGCAGTTAACTGCCCACCATCACAAAGGAATCTTAAGTTTTTATCTCCTTCAGAAAATATAATTCTCTGCAATGTAATTGCATGCTGATGGCCATTCCAGAATAAATTGCAAAGTACACCCCAAATAACCTGCCTGTTAAGAAGAAAACTGGACCAATAAAAAGCATTTAGAATATTGTAAAAAAGTTAAAACCATATTAAAGAGCGAAAGAAAACATCAAGTGCTATTAGTAAATATCTGGGTGGGAATTTTTTAATCTAAGACAGATTTAAAAACTTGTGTATGCCAGGCATCCCTTCTCCCCTTGTTAAAGGCCTTTCATGCCTACAGTTGCAAAAAAAAGTTCACAAAAAACATAACAGGGCTTTAAACTGATTTGATATTATCTTAAAGGTCCACAAGATGGGGATGCTCCTCTTTTTTTCTATGTCTGTGAGAAATTATGAAAGAATTGTTCTAGCCAGTGGTGTATTGGAGAATCTCCTACTGGTCTGAGAGCTGATTGTTAAAAGTTTTAGGAATTTTGCAAACTGGTAGCACAGCCATCATTAAGAATTAAATTACATAGCTTATTATTAAATAAATGGCATTAAAAAAGGTAATCAATATTTAAAATTCACTTCCTAATTATTTTACTATGATTTATGTTCTTGAAGTTATTTATGAATATCGAACCTTTAGGTTGAGCTACTGTATCATGGCGTGTTACTGCGTGTCTTTCCCCAATTCCATTTTCAGTGAAGTTACATCGATAGCTTGGAATTAGCTATGGTAGGAATATTTACATCACAGAGTTAAGCAAATGCCATAAATCGGGGCTTGATTTATTGTTTATTGCTTGTCTATATGTAAAGTGATGGAGAAAATGCTAATAATGCAAACTTAAAGTGTCAGGTCTTTATCTATTACATTGTACATAGCTCAAAAATTGAGAATATATTTTGCATTTCAGAAATGATTATTCACTTCAGCAAAGAAGTTACTCACATTGTTGACATCATTGATGTGAGTGAAAATATCAACCAGTCCTCTGAATTAGTGGAAAGCTGGTTGCTAAACATTTACCAGCGCGTTGCTGGTCATGGCCTAATTGAGTTTGGTGTTCTGGTAAGAAGTGGGTGGTATAAATTTCTTATACTGTTTTCAGCTTTAGGAAATCGTATCATGACATGTGGGCATTAACTTAAAAAAGGAAAATTATGTTTTAAAAGTCATTAGCAGTAGCACAAAATAATTTTAAATTTGAAGCCTTTGATACATATCTGTTGTGGAAGAGAAAAATAGAATCATAGAATTTCAAGTCTGAAGAATACTTAAATCCTGACTTACCTACAGATAGAAATTCTTTCTCTAGTGTATCAGTCAGTCATCCAGACTGTAGAGACAGAGCTCATTACCTGATTAATAGTGTTGGAAAGTTCTATATATGGAGCTAAACTTTGTTTTTCTTTAATTTCTACCAATTGGTTCTGGTACTGACTTCTGGAGAAGCATAGAATCATAGAAGAGAACATTTATCTCTTCTGTAGAGCAACTAGCTCTTCAGGTTTAAAGGTAGTTTGGATGTTTCCAGTTAGACCTCTTTAGGCAAGAAGTAACCTTTAATTCCTTTAACCATATTTTGTGTGGTATATTTTCTGAGCTGTACAATCTAAGATTGTGTTGCTTTTGTAAACATCCACGTCACTACCTTTTGAGGTTTATTGACTTTACAGATGAAATTTAATTCTTTTTTTGTGCAATCACACACAAATCAGGTGGTCTGTAGTGTTTGATTTTTTAATCAAAGCAGATCTTTGTATTTATTCGTATTACTTCAGCACAGCATTCCAGATTGGAGAAATGATACTAAATTGTAATTTTATCATTTTGGGCATTTATTAACCATACTGATTTTGTATCAGTTGCAGATTTGATAAGCACTCATTGTTTATTGTTTATATTCAAATTATTATTTAAAATGTTGAATTTCAAAGGCCTGTGGGGACACAGATTATCTTTAAATAATCCTCTCTAAATTCATTTCTGCCTATTACTACCTTTTGCTGCAAGTCCACCTTCTAGTTCTATTAAGTAGCCCACATTTTCCATCTTATAATGCAAGAGTTCATCATGACATATATTGTCAGATGCTTTGTTAACTGAGATCAAGATACACTGTCTATGGGCTCCCAGTGAAATACATGTTAGTACTTCTGTCTTTGTAAAGTAGGCATTTTTGAAAAATTCTGGCATGTCTAAATGTTAAAGTCCTATTCGTCCACAACTGGAAAGCTAGAAAGAAAATCTACCATGAGTTGTAGGTTAGATGATAATTAAGACCTCAGAAGAGAAAAGGAATGAGAGGATTTATGGGAACATTTGATGCTCAGGGCCACGGTAAATACCTGGGCTGCAAAGAAAACAGCCTGTGCCATGAGAGCAGAGCTTCTTCACTGAGAAGGTATTCTGGAGCAGGTGAGAATTGAGGGATCTGGAAATAGTTTCCCTAGTATTATCTATTTTCTTTGTAATGTGTGTGGTGAAATCTTAACAGTGAATGCTTCTGAGTGTATATGGGTGTTTCTTTGTGATGTACCTCCTTATTCTTTTTGCTGTGGATACAGTAATACTTCATGGTATAATTTTGAAGATTAAAAACTCAATATGAAGTCATCTAGCTCATTTTCTTGTATTTTGTTGATGGTAGATAAAGCCTTATTTAACCATTTGTTAAGTTTTTTCCTTTTGTTAATTTCCATTGGCCAATTGTGGTGAGTTTCTCAAGAAGTTACTAAATGTGAGTTGTTGCATCACATTTCTTGGTCTCCAGTCTTCTTCATCCTGTCCAGACCCATTTTATTGCTGCTGGAAGAAAAATTTATGACAGGTCATTTGATTAAATAGTATTAGAATAATGATGTTCTTTTTCCCACTACCTATTCTCCCAAAAATCATAGTTCAAGAGCAACAGGTTCTAGAAGTTAGTCCTGGATTAGTTGTCTCATTTTCTAGCCTCCATTCAAGTTACTTTTAAAAATCATATTTATGTGGATACATTTATGTTAAACAAATGTGTTTTTAGAGGTCCTCCTTGAATATACTCTTCAGTGTAAATTCTGGGCCCCAGGAATAGGGAGATAGTAGTGTTTCATGAGTACTTAATAGCTGGCAGTCACTTTTCTGATAATCCTTTAATTTAGCCAAGTCAGGGCTACTTGTTAAAAAAGTAGAGAGGACTTCAGATGTAGAAGTAAAGGGTTTGGGGCATATGAAGAAAGAGAGTTACATGAATAAAATTCATGAGCTCATGAGTTATTTTGGAATTTACTTTCCTTAGTGGCATGACTTATTACATTAATTATTTTATGGCAGGTTTTACTTTGTTTTAACTTGAGGGTTTCTATAGGATGGGTTAGTAGGCCCTCTACCTAGTCTTTAAAGAATCTCTTGGTTCAGCATGTTGTACTTCATTTTTGGTAATTGATGTATTCTGTCTTCTTGCAGATTGAGGTGGTGCCATGCAGCAAGCAGCAGAGAGATGCAGAGTTCGAGCCAGAAGGCCTGACATGGCACTTTATATACCGAAAGCTCGAAGGGGTATAGTGCTGCTTAAGTCAGGTGATGAAGAAAAAAGCTGTGGTCCACCTAACTCTGTGGTGAAAGAAGAACAAAAAGAAGATGGTCTCTTCCAAAAGGAGATCTTTAGAGGCAAATCTGAGACTCAGACACTAAGCATTAATCCTGATGATAAGGAACACAACCATAGGGAAGGAAAGAAGTTTTCAACAAAATTAAGAAAAGACACATGCCTTCAAGAAAGAAAGAAAGATAGGGTTTGTGTTAGGAGGGGAACCACAGAATCTAAAGAAGCATTATCCCAAGGACATCAGCAAAGTGTCCCAAATCCTGGGATGCTACCTAGTGCACCTTTACAAAGACACGTTAAACCAAAGAAGGTGGAGTGTTTGGAGGTCGAAACCACAAATGTGATAGGACCTGGGAAGTTGCTTCTGTCTCAGTCTTGTTCAGAAGTGGGTGAGGCCCAGGTTCTAAACACACCATTCCAAAATATGGAATTCTGTGATTTCAGTAGGCACAAAGTAAGTGGCAAAACGTTCAAAGGCAGAGATTTGGAAAACAGAATTGAAACTGATGTCAAGGTGGTGGAGATACTATCCCAGTTTCCTGGAGTTTTTAATTCTGTATTGAAACCTGAGAGTAAGACTGTGGCAGTAAAACTAAGTTCTGATTCTGAAACCGTACCAGAAAGTATGCAAACATCGTGTGGAATGTTGACTCTCGGCAATGGAGGCATCACTGCCATTTCTGTTCCTGGAAGTGCGGATGGTGTCACTGATCAAACTTGTGTAGACTTTGAAGCTGAGAATGTTGGTGATACAGCCAACAGTACAGATATCATCTTGGCTCAGAGAGGTATAGATTCCATTCCTGAGACTTTGGGTCACATCTCTCATAAAATGGCCATAGTCAGCAAATTAGAGAGTATAAATGGCATTTTTGATCCAACACTGATTAGAGAGTATGAGAAGAATGACAGTACTGCCGATGACTTGTGTATAAGGTATGAACCTTCTGATACAGCTCTCCTTGCTCATGAAACAGATCTAGATAATGGGCTGAAGAGTGTAGGTGACATTACCCAGAAGGCATGTAAGATGGACATTACAGATGTCCTGTCTGATCAGATAACTGTGGGCAGCCCTTGTGTAGCTGCAGTTAGAACAGCTGGTGAGGCCTGTAGCAACACAAATAGTTTCTCAAAATATTTAGAAATGAGTGCAGATACAGCCCCTCTTCATGTAGCTGGGAGTGGGAATGACATAGAAAATTTCAGCAGCCTGACTGCTTGCTCAGATATTTATGCTGAGAGTATTTCATCTAGTTTCACAGAGTCAACAGGAAAGTTGATAGAGAGCTTGTCAGATTGTGCTTCCTCCTTACCTATAAAGAAGATTGCTGGTAGTAATTGTAGCACTTTTTTGGACTGTGAACTCAGTATGTTTAATGGGACAAAAGTACTTTCAGACAGTGCCTTGGGCATTGATCTAGATTGTACGGGTGATATAACAAAGGCATTGCATGAACTAAAAACTGCCGAAGAGTTCAAGACAAAAGAGGAAGATCACTCAGAGAATATAGAGTTTGGTGTATCCTTTCCTGATACGGAATCTGTATCTATGGAAACATCTATGGCACCGAAAGCAATGGAAACATCTCATGTGGAGGGAAGTACTGCTACTGAGGACAGCTGGGAGTCTCTGTTTAATGATGATGGTGACTGCTTGGATCCACGTCTTCTACAAGAGGTCTGTTCAGTGGAAGTTACTCGATGCTTACATAATTTATAGATTCATAGAGCCTGGTGTTTGGGGGGGTAATTTTGATGGACATTTGTGCACATTCATACATTCACTCATGTTACATTCAATGTAAGGGTTCCTGCAATAAACAAATAGGACTGTAGATTGAGAAAAGAATGTCTGATAGGTCTTTACAAAGTAAAACATACCAAATTGAGTATCTATTGTAACCAAGTTGTGAGAGATCTTACTGAATAGATTAAAGATGAGTTTAACAGATTCTGACTGTCTGTTGAGGAAATAAAGAGGGAAACTTCTTCAAAAGGGATTTTCTGCATTGACAAGATGTATTTTACCCAGGCCTATCTGAGGGGAGGAGAGTAATTTATTATTCACATTTATCGTATTTTTCTAGGAAATGTTGGGATGTTGTCAGACACTGGAGGGAAGGAAGTAGAGAAGGGAAGGGTAAAATAAGGAAAGGTATGATCGTTTCTTAAGTAGTTTATGCTGCGTTGCAGAATAAATGATTGTTGAGTACATGTAAAGTATGAGTAAATAATGACATGCTGGCTAGTCAAGAGTTCATAAATACAACATGTTGGGTTAGAAGTCATTTTAGAAATTATTTAGTTTCATCTTTTTATTTTCCTAATTTAGACATTCACTCTATCCAGTATTTAAATTCCTTGCCATAAATAAGAATCATGGGTGTTAAATAGTAAAACCACATCCCCTTTCATTCCTTATAGGAGTGTCTGGAAGGAGAAAAAATAATTTCCCAATGAAATCACCAATTTTATAAATGAGGAAATTGAAGCTTAGTGGTCAGACCTTTAGGAAAGGCAGAATCAGGGTTTCCATTTAGTTCTCTCTCTTTTTTTTTTTTTTTATAACATATTTTATTTTCAACGTTTATTTATTTTTGGGACAGAGAGAGACAGAGCATGAACGGGGGAGGGGCAGAGAGAGAGGGAGACACAGAATCGGAAACAGGCTCCAGGCTCCGAGCCATCAGCCCAGAGCCCGACGCGGGGCTCGAACTCACGGACCGCGAGATCGTGACCTGGCTGAAGTCGGATGCTTAACCGACTGCGCCACCCAGGCGCCCCTATTTAGTTCTCTCTTAATCCAATGTTCATGTTCTTTCTACCAGACCATGTTGTTACCTATAACATAGTTTTGTTTGAGTGATTCCAGAGAACCTTTTAAATATGAAGTGATTGGTTCTTTTGTTTCTCAGAATTAAACCCTAAGTACAGAAAAACGGTCACATGCATGTGAAGACACATGTGAGAATGAAGAGGGTGTAGCCCATTGGACAGAGCTGACTTTCCAATACCAAGCAGTTCCTCTTCATTCTTAGGTGTTTGCATGTGCACATGTACCACAGGTAGCACTTCCTATGGTCAAGTCAGGAAGCACTATGTCCTAAATATTCCTTAGAAAGAAATACAGAACAGAAAATAACTACAGATGGCATCCATGAACCCCTTGAAATTGCATACAAAATTTTATATGTACGTGCAGTTTTTCATCAGATTCTCAAAGGCAGGGCTTCCCAAAGTACGAGTATCACCTGGAACTTGTTAGAAATGCAAACTCTTTATTTAGCCCAGTAGTGTGTATATTTGTGTTTTTCAGGTGACTCTGATGCATACAAAGTGAGAACCATTGCTGAAAAGGTAGTAACATACACTTGAATGTTTATCAGAATATGAGTGTGATAACTAGAGATGGCTGTCCACACATAACTAGAAGAAAAACAGAAGTTTTAGACACAAATTAGGTTAATAAATACTAGTAATGTGGGAAGTGAGGTGGAACATAGAGAAGTTATTAAGGATCCAAGCATTGGGGGCTCCTGTGGGGCTCAGTTGGTTAAGCATCTGACTCTTGATTTCAGCTCAAGTCATGATCTCACAGTTTGTGTGTTTGAGCCCCGCATTGGGCTCCTCACTGACAGTGTGGAGCCTCCTTGGGATTCTCTGTCTGTCTCTCTCTCTCTTTCTCTCTCTCTCTCTGCCCCTCCACTTCTCGTGCTCTCTCTCTCTCTCTTTCTCAAAATAAATAAATAAAAATAAAAACAAAAAGGATTCAAGCATTGGAAGGTCTTCATGTTCAAAGAGATTATCTGAGGGAGCAGAGAGCACACATGTGCACAGGAGAGAAGGAATAGCTTCCTACAAAAGAAAGGTATGGCAAGAGCCCTTTACACATAATGAGGCTTAGTAAACAAATATTTATTGAATGGATGTAGATGATAGGGCAGAGTTGGAGCTCTGTGCTTTTTTAGGGTGGACACCAGGGGCTTTCAAAACTTGATTGCTGCTGGAACTTGGATTCTGTATGGTAGCTTAGGGATACAGCTTTTTTTTTTTTTTTTTTCAACGTTTATTTATTTTTGGGACAGAGAGAGACAGAACATGAACGGGGGAGGAGCAGAGAGAGAGGGAGACACAGAATCGGAAACAGGCTCCAGGCTCCGAGCCATCAGCCCAGAGCCCGACGCGGGGCTCGAACTCACGGACCGCGAGATCGTGACCTGGCTGAAGTCGGACGCTTAACCGACTGCGCCACCCAGGCGCCCCAGGGATACAGCTTTTATAACGGGGCAAGAGGGTTCAGGTGTGCAAGTCTGTTTTTCAGATCTTAACACTGTTTGGAATAGGTGCAGAAGAAAGTAGGCAACCACTCAGTGTTTTGAGGAGCATCGTAATATAGCCAAAAATGATACTTGTATGACCTGAAGCTTGGAATGGCTAGAGAAAGGAGTATGTAGTGTTTTAAGCTGGACAGCCAGTGCCTGGGTGTTGTGTTTGGATATCACACACTGGGTTGGTGCTTGGTAGGGAGTGAGGTCTGCATTGAGGGATAAGGGTTGAACAGAGCAAGAAGGAAGGAGGTAGATTGAGAATGCTGCTAGCAGATCCAACTCCAAACTATGATCACCTGTGCTTTGAGTTTTAGGAGATGTAATAATAATGTTATTAAAAGATGTCACAAATTCAATAATGTTAATAGCCTTTTAGTGACTATTACTCTTAATTTATTATTTATATTGCTCTAAACATACTTTATTAAAGGTCAAATCAGAGTGTCTGTCTCTTGAAAACTTTCCAACCAATAATTTTTGGCTCTTTTCCCAGTGGGCCTGTTTCTTTGTTGACAGTGGCTACACATGGAGGTATGTCTAATACTTCTAATAGTCAGGGAGGTATGCTGTAGAGCAGGGTGTGACAGCCATTGGCATGTGAAGCAGTTTCCTGTGACATTTGAACTTCTAAAACTGCCTGAGTGGGTAGAAAGCATAGATGGGTCATTACTGAACTCCTGGAACTACAATTCTTGATGAGTCTCTAAAGATCATGGTTTGGAATGCTCAGAAATTTACATTGGTAATTGATTTTAAAAAAAATGTTGGCATGACTTCTTTTAACCCTTCGAGAACTTGGTATAAGAACACAAGAATTACTGTTGTCTGGATAAAACTTTTCATAGCTCCTGCTGCCTCCCGTACTGATCTGCAGATCTGTTGTTTGGTAGGAGGGTTAACCCAGCAACATAATATAGATATTGATAGAGTGTGGCATCTGGTCCCTTCACTGGCCATTTCTGGCCTTAATTTGACACTGGTCATTTCTGGCCTTGGTTTAGGTAGGAGTCTCCTTTTGTTACAGAAGGCTACTAACAATATATAACCATGGAAAAAAGAAGAGTAAAGGGACACCACCCATTCCCAGACTATCTCCTTTTGTGTGTAGACTCACGTTTATACACTCCTTCTCCCTATAGACTTTTGCACAGATGCGGTCTGTGTTTAAGTAGGGAACCTGAAAGCGAAAGGAAAAATTCATAATCCAACCACTAAAAGCAAATTATATGAAGTACAAAGGGAGGAAAGTCCTTCATATTCCACCCCCTAGGGACTTCATTAATAGTTGGTAGTTCATCACTTTGCAGTTAAATGCAAAGTTTAAGTACCTAGAGTTTGATAAACTATAGGTTGTAAATAGCTAGATATAGTTATCACTACCATTTTAAAGGCACTGGGTTACATGCCAGCTTTTTTCTCAGCTTTATCTGAAGTTTCTTATATTTGGAGAGAGAGCATGTAACCATGTGATTATCACATAATAATCTAAAGAATAATTAATATAAAACACCCATATAAGAGATGTCCTAAGTTGATTGTCTGATGGGTGATCTAGACAGTGGCTTCAACAAAGGATTAGACCCTTGAGGGCTAACCTGGTTGACACTGGTTCATGTTGCTGAAGCCATAGAATTAAACAAGATTTGAAGCCCCACTTCAGAGATTGTTCTTATGTTCCTAATTTATATTTTTCTATTTTTTTTAAAATTGATAGACTCTCTTTTTTTGAGCAGTTTTAGGTTTTCAGAAAAAAATGGAGTGAAAAAAGTACAAGGTTCCCATATACTTTATACTTCCTCACTATTTTAGTTTTTATTTTCACAGTATCTTTTATTATTAGTTGCAAATCATTTTGACAGACTTATGTTTAATATTTTTATTAAAACGTCTGAATTAGGGGCACTTGGGTGGCTCAGTTGGTTAAGCATCCGACTCTTGAATCCAGCTCAGGTCATGATCTCATGGTCTGTGAGATCGAGCCCTGCATCAAGCTCTGTGCTAACAGCGCAGAGCCTCCTTGGGATTCTCTCTCTGCCTCTCCCTGGCTTGTGCTCATACTCTCTTTCTCTCTCAAAGTAAATAAATGAACATTAAAAAAAAATAAAACATCTGAATTAACATGTTCTTGACTGCCTGAGTGAGGATTCCAGATGCTGTATTTTCGAATGCAGTCACTTGGGACATCCAGTGAATAATCTGGTTGAATTATATATTCCGTTTATTGTTCAGTCCACTAGTGGATGATGACTAGATTTCTGGTTCATACGGAAAGAGGGGACATTAAGACGATACCATTGCTAACAGTTTGTTTATTTCTAAACCAAACAACTCCTAAAATGAAAAATCTCCC